TGTTTGTATACATGTTCTCTATATCAAATGAACATAATCTTATGTTTTCATTTATTATAATGGTGTTTAGGTCATTCATTAATTGTGTGGAGTTATGTATATTATATGTGTTTGGCAATTGTAAGTATTCTTGTAGTGTTTTGGATAATAGTATTGCTATTTGGTATGCTGGGGCATTTCTTCAATTGATAATGGGTCTAATAGGCGTGTTGTTTTTGTGTAGTTTTATTGTCGCATGTAAATTTGGGGCCATGGGGTTCATGTTTGTGTATTTCCATTTTTGTTCTTTTTGTTTTTGTATACCACGAATTACTCACTATCTACACAGAACAACATAACACCCCACCACCTACCCCCAACACATCTACTCCCACAACATCATAACTCAATCAAAACGAAGACAGCACACACACACACATACCCAGCAGGCCCAGCAGTATAACACACGCAGTCACAGGAGCAAGACACAACACAAAGCACAGTGAGTATTAAACATTATAATACCACACGTAACAAATAAAATTCAGAACGCGGTATTAATGAATAACAATTTCACGTTACAGATACACACATGAAAGTAGGAAGAAGAAGATAGGTGTGACTCGCGTATTGAGATACGACATAAGGATGACAAATCCTGAACAGTTTTAATATTTTTAATATTTAAAATTTATCCGTATTTTGTATTTGTTTCAGTATTAAATGTTAACAGTGTTATAATTGGATTGTGAATATGCAGAGCCTGCAGTAATAAATAAAGGCATTTTTGAATAAGCTTTCTTTACAACGAAGAAGAGCATGTGGGTTTCTTACTGTGGGAGAGAAATAACAGGCAGACAATTCTATGCAGTCAGTGTTAATGAACTGGATCCAATTTGCATAAATGTGCGAATAATTGTGGATAAAAGTAATGGAGATAATAGAAGTTTTGTGGCCTTTTTTTTAATACAGGGTGTTTCAAAAAGAGCTTCACAACTTTGAAAGCTTATATAAATTTATACAGAGGACATACACAACGTTTTGGACTGTCATAATGTAACAAAACACACTGAGCTTCATGCACGTGGTACTGTAGTACCCAATAGCGCCACCGCGAGCGTTCCCGCTGTTGAAATCAAGATGGCTACTTTCACAGGTGCAGAATGTGCTCATTTTGTGTTTTGGTTTGAAGAAATGAAGTCTGCTACACAAGTTCAAAGGAAATTTCGCACTCAGTATCTCAAGGAACCTCCCAGTAGGCCTACAATTTACTCCTGGCACAAGAATTTTGTTCAGACTGGATGTTCTGTGCGCCATGCCAAGCCATCCAGTCTGCCACGTGTTTCTGACGTTACAGTGGAACAGATTAGGGAGAGCTTCGTTCGAAGTCCACGAAAGTCAACGTGACGTGCATCTCGGGGAAACTGGTATTCCAAATGTTACTGTGTGGCGAGTGTTATGAAAACGTTTACACTTAAAAGCATACAAACTATGCATCATTCAACACATTATGGATGCAGATAAGGTGGTTTGTAAGGAATTCTGTATGCAAATGTTTCATTGGATACAAGATGATGAGAAATTTCTGGACTCCGTAATTTTCAGTGATGAGAGCACATTTCATGTCGGTGGTAACGTCAATACCCACAACTGCAGATCTGGGGCAGCGAAAATCCATGTGTCTCCCTGGAACATGTTTGTGATAGGCCAAAGGTGAACGTGTTTTGCTCCCTCAACAAAGAAAGAGTGTACGGCCCCTTTTTCATGAGATGACCATTACCAGTATCGTATATCTGGACGTGCTCCAAGAGTTCCTCATTCCACAGTTAGACGAAGATGAGCAAGAAGGATGCATTCACTTCCAGCAAGATGGCACACCCCCTCATTACCTTGGAGAAGTGCGTGAGTACCTCAACACCCATTTCCCAGGTCGGTGGATTGGATGAGCGGTGCCGATAGCATGGGCACCTCATTCCCCGAATCTTACTCCCCAGGATTTTTTCCTATAGGGATTCATTAAAGATCGAGTGTTCGTACCACCTTTGCCTGCAAATGTCATTGAGCTCCGAACTCGAATTACTGCCTCAGTTGTAGAAGTGACGCTAGAGATGCTACGTAGCATGTGGCAAGAGACTGACTGCAGGTGGGACGTCTGCCACATTACCAGTGGAAGTCACATTGAACCATAACAATCCAAGGTAAAACGCGATGTGTTTTGCTACATTATGGCAGTTCAAGAAGTTGTGTATGTCCTCTGTATAAATTTATATAAGCTTTCAAAGTTGTAAAGCTCTTTTTGAAACACCCTGTACAGTCTTTTCAGGCATTGATTCCCATGTACTTGTATTTAATTTTCCAACTCACTAAACAGAGGGGGCATGTGGTAGCGTAGTTGGTTGAGGCACTATGCTACAAGCCGGAAGGTTGCAGGATCAAATCCCGAAGAGGTCATTGGATTTTTTCAATTTACCTAATCCTTCCAACCGCAATATTGCCCTGGGGTTGACTCAGCCGCTAACAGAAGTGAGTACCAGGAATATTCTTGGAATGTACTTGGGGGTAAAGGGCGGCTGGCACATAGGGCTGACAACCTTACAGCCATCTGTGAGCAAAATACCTAGAAAATGTGAGAACCTCAACATCTCACAACCCTATGGGCCTCCATGGCATATGACAGGGATACTCCTTTTTTTTACTAACTAAACAGGTATTAGGCCGGTCATGGTAGCCGAGCTGTCTGAGGCATGCACTGTCTTTGCTCGCTTGGAAATCGGGGTCATGGGTTCGAATCTCACTCAGGGCATGGATGTTTAGTTTGTGTGTGTGCGTTTTTCTGTGTTTGTATACAGGTAGAGGCCTTGCGATGAGCTGATCACCCGCCCAAGGAGTCCTACCGAATGTCTAAGATCTAGAAAAACCGAAGTGAACGGAGAAGTTCATGGAGGTAGGCCTAGGCCCACTGGGGCTGTAGTGTCAAGGAAAAAGAAAAAAAGGTGTTAATGAAATGTAGTGTTGTTTTCTACTTCAAAAAATGATTTTGGCACAAACTGGCACACTATAATGCCTGCTTTACACAAATCTCAGGTCAGATTTATACAAAACTGTCCTTGAAACATCACTCTGGTCAATTCCAGTATTAAAGTCATTAAGTTTAATTAATTATACCAGCTTTATTGAAATGTTATTTTTGCGATTACTTTTAAGATTTCTCGAGACTATGCAGTGGTGGACCACACATATGATGCAGTGGTGGTTGGTGCTGGTGGGGCAGGGCTCCGAGCAGCGTTTGGTCTTGTTGCAGAAGGATTCAAGACAGCTGTCATTAGTAAATTATTTCCGACTCGATCGCACACAGTTGCTGCTCAGGGTGGTATCAATGCTGCTCTTGGAAACATGGAGCAAGATAACTGGCAGTGGCACATGTACGATACAGTGAAAGGTTCTGATTGGTTGGGTGACCAGGATGCTATCCATTATATGACAAGGGAAGCACCAAAGGCTGTGATTGAGCTTGAGAATTACGGTAAGTAAATTGAGACGTCATGAACATAGAATATTATGCTTTCTTGAACAGAAAATTTTTTTAAGTGTGAAGTGGCGTGAGTAGATCATCAGAGTCGGTTATCAAAACCAAAGGACAGGTGGTGAGTGCATGAATGTTTGTAGGAAATCCTCATTAATTTAAAATATGGGAAGCCTAGAAATGTTGGACTCAAAACAAGATATTTTGTTTGCATGTCCACATTCATTAATTCACCATTCATTCATCTGTAATCTGTCAAGATGACAGGTCCACAGTCTCTTCCAAAACAGTTCCTCCACTTAATGCGATCTAGAGCTTTCTCCTTCAAATGAAAATATCCTCTTCTGTCCCCAAGGTCATCCAGCATCTTCTTACGTCCACATGTCAAGAGATAATTTTAATTTTCTTAACTGTGCTGCTTTCTTTTTCATAAGTGAGTTTTGTTTTGACAGGTCCTTGAACCTTGAATATTCAAACGAAAATTAAGTTTGTTGTTATGTAGCAGTAATGTAAAACTAATGCCTGGAGCTATGTTGGCTAAGTGAAATGATGGGCTGTGGATGGATGTTAGCTGTTTGATTCTCAGTTAATGTATTGGGTTTTTTTTTTGTTTTCACCATATCCAGTCAAGGCTCTGGTACGTACCCAGTTTCCATTACAATGGGTATTTGGGACTCATTTTCAAAGAGGAAAGTTGGCCAGAGTGTGAAGCTAACCACCCACCTTTATCTATAGCTGTGGTTACAAATGTGAGACACCTTACATCTGTTCCCTTTTCATGCCTTATGCAGGGTTCATATGCTCAGTGAAAGCTGTGCCTTTGTAACTTTTAAATACTTGTAATGTCTTGGTTGTTTTATCCGGAAGGAAGCATATCTTATTAAATTAACTTGTTCACTTATGTAGGTTTCTGTTAAGACATTCATTGCAGTTGACTTCAGTATCTGGTATTATTCTTCTCAGTATGGGGAGCACACAGTAGCATAATTGTTTGAGGCACTATGCTACAAATTGGAAGGTAGCGGGTTCAATTCCTGATGAGGTCCTTGGATTTTTCAGTGGACCTAATCCTTCCAGCTGTACTGTGGCCCCGAGGTTGACTCAGGCTCTAACAGAAATGAGTACCAGGAATCTTCCTGGGGTTAACGGGCAGCCAGTTGACGCGTAAAGCTGACAATCGCACCATCATCTGTGAGTTGACTATCTTGAAATGTGGGAGCCTCAACATCTTACAACCCTGTGTGCCTTCGTGGCCTGTTACAGGGATAGCTCTCTCACTATCTACTCAGTATGCCTTTTTGCTTCTAGTCTGTTCAGTGTTAATCATTTTCGTAGTCAGATTTTTCCCTTCAGTAATATTACATCAGTTGTAAAGATAATGCATGTAACACTTCTGTCCCTTTTCCATGGTATGTAGTATAATATATCTATTTCGTATCCAAAACTGTTTTCTTTTACTTTCTTACAGTTTATCCTATCTGATAGAATGTGCTATAAATTGAGAACATAATATTTGTTTTAAATCAACCATTGAATTTTTAATGTGAAAACCATAGTTGTCACATTGTTCTCTTATGTTGAAGTATGAAGTGTAATAACCCCTCATGTCAAGACATTATCATGTACTAAATTCTAAAAAGATTGCCATGAGGTTCAAGTAACCAAGATGACAGTTCAGAAGGGAAGTAGCAATATGAATGCATAGTATTGTCTCTCCACAAGTTTGAAGCACCCAAAGTATCTTTCACATCCATAGTATGATGGAATTGTCTTTTATTTTCAGGAATGCCCTTCAGCCGGACTGAAGATGGTAAGATCTACCAGCGAGCATTTGGAGGTCAGTCACTGAAATTTGGTAAAGGAGGACAGGCTCACCGATGTTGTTGTGTAGCAGATCGAACTGGCCACTCGCTTTTACACACATTATATGGCCAGTCTTTAAGATATGACTGCAACTACTTTGTTGAATATTTTGCTCTTGACTTACTGATGGAGGATGGTGAATGTCGTGGCGTTATTGCTCTGTGTTTGGAAGATGGAAGTATTCACAGATTCCGTTCAAAGAATACGGTAATTACATATTGTAGTTTGAGCTGCTGGCAGTGTAATTAGGTGAATAATAAGTAAAATATATGTACTCATAATCTTGGACTTTCTTCTAAAACATGAATGTATGATGTCTCTTTAAACAGAAGATAAAGAGTTGTGCATTTGCACTCACAGGGTCAGTGTTTATGGAAATGAAAGGAAGTTCAGTGACAGAATATAGATGAGATATTTGTCTTGCCCTTATATCGATGTTACTGATATTATGTTAAGCAATGAATAGAACTTAGTATTTGGTATTCTGAGGTCCCATAATCATGTAGATGATAAAACGTAAGTTTTGTTCATATAGCCATTTTATTAGATAATTTCAAGTGCTGGTATGCCAGCAGTTTATATTTCTTTAAACAAATTTGCAGTTAATTAGTTTCTGAGGAGATACTAGATTTGAACCTTGAATTGGAGTATGTGGGGGTGGGGGGAAAATTGAATGGAGGAAGTTAGAAATTTAAATAATTGATTTAGGAGCTTAAAAATTATAAAAGGAAATAAGGGCCCAGACCCACTGACAGTAAAATCAAATGCCAGATATTTCATCCATTCCCTGAGCTTTCTCAGTAACGAATAGATTTGCCGTGAGAGAATGAGTAAAAAAAAAAAAAAGTAAAGGTATTCCTGTAACAGGCCATGGAGGCCCATAGGGTTGTGAGATGTTGAGGTTCCCACATTTTCTAGACAATCAGCTCATAGATGGTGGCAAGGTTGTCAGCCCTACACGCCGGCCACCCTTTACCTCCAAGAATATTCCTGGTACTCATTTCTGTTAGACGTTGAGTTGACACCAGGGCCATAGTGCGGCTGGAAGGATTAAGTAAATTGAAAATATCCAATGACCTCATCGGGATTCGATCCTGTGACCTTCCGGCTTGTAGCATACTGCCTCAACCAACTACGCTACCGCGTGCCCCCAGTGAGAGAATGAGTAGAGAATAAATCCCTGCCAAAGAGCTGAATGCAGGCAGTTGTAGGTTTGCAGTGTGAGTGCTAGGTAAAATGATCATTGTTGATTTAATACTGTGCCATGCGGTGTTCCTACATTTTGAAGTATATAGCCATTGCTGTAAGAAGTAAGTGGAGTTGGGAAAGTAGCGTAGAAAACCAAACAGATCTTAAGCTTGATATTGACAGGTTGATGTAGTGGTAACATTTTGTACTTATATTCAGGAGGTATCTGGTTTGAATCTCACGAAGTCTGTTGGCTGTCCTGGCTGAGTTTTAATGGTTCTCAGTTTCTTCATGCAAATGTAGAATAAAGTTCATTGAAATAAGCCACCATTGTTTCCTTCCAAATCCTCATCTGTTCACCTTGATCGCCTTCCAATTTCCCCTCAGCATTCATAACCAGTGTGATTGAAACAGCTTTATTGTGCATTGTAAGAATTAATCAGGCATGGTCTCGAATAATGGAAAATGGATAGGGGACAGACAGAAATTTAAAATTATGGAACTTTGTTATTTATATGTACAGGTTCTGGCTACTGGAGGTTATGGCCGAACTTTTTTCTCATGCACTTCAGCCCACACGGTAACAGGTGATGGTACAGCTATGGTATCTAGAGCAGGACTTTATAATCAGGACTTGGAATTCATACAGTTCCACCCAACAGGTATGTGTATTTCCTCGGAGTTGAAGGACTGTGTAATCACTCTCTTATCATTCAAAAGGCCAGATGGCACAGTAAAATTATTAACCCTTCTCCTTGTACTTGGGAAGTTCTGTGTTAAAAATTTTAAATTAAATTCGCTTAGTGGGGTGGGGGTGGAGTCCAGCTGCGTTTGCTCGGCATGGTGGCCACTTATTGGCCTATTGTACGTGCCCCGGGTGATTATGATGATGGAGAATTTGGTGGAATGAAGATTGGCAAGAGAAACCAAAGCACTCGCAGAAAACCTGCCCCAGCGCCACTTTGTCCACCACAAATCCCATTTTACCAGACCCGGGATTGAACCTGGGCCGTCATGGAGGGAAGCCAGTGACTAACCGCTTGAGCTATGGCGCAGCCAAGTTCTGGGCTAAGTCTTGGTTCAAAGACCAGTTATCCTGATATTGGTTTTCTGTGGTTTACCTCCATCACTCCAGGTTAAGTGCTTGTGATAACACTTTAAATTAGGCCACAATCACATTATTTCATTAATTATTTATTAATCATTCTATCATTTCATGTTATAATCTTGGCAATTGGAAATGCCATTAAATAAACCAGTAATAGTAAATAAATCAAAATGGAAGGATTGTATAAGAATGTGTTATGCCATTTTGTCAGTAAGTGGTTATGTGTAAGAGCTCTTCTGTTCCTGACTTCAGGTATTTATGGAGCTGGTTGCCTCATCACGGAAGGTTGTCGTGGAGAAGGAGGTTTTCTGATAAATGGTCAAGGTGAAAGGTTCATGGAACGTTATGCTCCTGTAGCAAAAGACTTGGCTTCTCGTGATGTCGTGTCGAGAGCCATGACTATTGAAATCAGAGAAGGAAGGTATGTTAAATACAGACTTCGCTGTTAATTTTTCCAGGCAGTCATGATGAAAAGGAACATGTTTGTTGTTTGTAGTCTCAAAATTGAATTTTACAGTAAGAGCATATTTCTTCTCATGTTTAAAAACAAATTAGTGTGAAAGATTGCATGTATTTCCTCATACTGTGGAACACTACAATGCATTGCTGATTTTTGACATACACATTTTGTTCAAAATTCTGAAGTGCACTTCTGTTTCTCATTTTCACAGTATGGAACAAATGAACAGTGGAACCCACATTTAATGTTTGTTTTAAGATTTTCCATATTTAACATTATGTTTTATTAGTTGCAAGTCAATAAATTCAGTATTACATATCCTACATTTAAGTCTTCAGATCCAGTGCCTTCCATAGAATCCTGAAGTTGGGTTTCACTGACAAATTTGAGTAAATAACATTTTTAATGGAAGCTCATATATGATATAAATTCCGTCCTAAGTGTAACAATTTATTGTAGGTCTTTCGTTTTGCCTTCTTCTACACTACATGTTTTGGCCGCAAACAGCCATCATCAGGTGTATACATTCACGTAGCTGTTACACTGCACCCAGTTTAAAATTTAAAAAAAAACAGGTCTTCCCAATCGGCTAACAGGATCTACTTTGCTGCTATTTGTCTGATTCGTACATAATTTTTTTTGTCACCTACACACGTCAATTTTGACATTCATGAACTGGCACTTTTAAAATCTTCAGTTCCAATTTAGGAAACTCCTTTAATTTTTTTTTTCTTCAAATTTTAAATTTAAAATTAAAATTCTCTGGGTTACTCGCCCCATGTCTATAGTGCTGCAGCGGCTACTTCTTGTTTTCAGCACTGTAAGGTGTTATTCTGTGTAGGCTCCCTGTGTGTGTGCCTCTGCTTATCTTTACTACATGTGCTCACGTAATATTGGAAGCTCCTAGTATACTTAAGAGAATTGAACATAATTGAATACTGTACAGTCATTTTCTTGGAGGTGGATATTTGGAGGGAAGGAAGTTTGTATTTTATTCAGGCAAGATGAAGAATGTAATCTGATTTTACAGAGGATGTGGGCCTGAGAAGGATCATGTATATCTGCAGCTGCATCATCTGCCACCAGAGCAGCTGGCCACCAGACTGCCTGGCATCTCAGAAACAGCCATGATCTTTGCTGGTGTAGATGTAACACGTGAACCAATTCCGGTTCTGCCAACAGTCCACTACAACATGGGTGGTGTTCCTACCAATTATAGAGGACAAGTGCTTACTGTTTCTGGAGGAAAGGACCAGGTTGTACCAGGCCTTTATGCCTGTGGTGAAGCAGCCTCCTCGTCAGTACATGGTGCTAATCGCCTTGGTGCAAACTCATTGCTTGATCTTGTTGTGTTTGGACGTGCCTGTGCAAAGACCATCGCAGAGGAAAATAAGCCTGGGGAATCCATTGGTTCTCTGAAAGCTGTAAGTGTGTATTAAAATTTTGTTTATATGATTTTAATTAATTCCTCCCTTTTCTTCATGTCATTTTAGGAATATTTATCTGCTCTGTCTGACTGTCTGTCTGTCTGCATGTATTAGTCATTCTTTTCATAAGTGGATTAGGATTAAATTTTGTGTTGGGGATTAATAAAATTCTAGTTATTATTTTTCAGGATTATCTATGCCAGTTATACCTGCCATATTACTTTGATATCTTAGAGCTTCTACATTGCATAGAGATACCAGAGTTTCCAGCTCATAGACCTTGCAGTTGTCACCCTACTTAAATACTTCACAACTGCCATATTACTTAGATATGTTAAAGCTGTCATATTATGTAGAAGCTTTAGAACTGCCATATTACTAAATGATCTTAATGAAGTTTTTAGAATATTTTGTTTTTGTGAATGTGTATTAAACCATGTGGGGAGGCAGGTTAGAATACTTCTGCAATAGCCCTACAAGTTGTAGAGGGTGACAAAAAAGGAACCTTGTACTCAGGGTCATAACTGGACCATCTTGTCCCTGTGTAAAAGTTTATTGATGAGAAATCCGGAGAAGTGGAAATCCAGTGATATAATTCAGGACAAGTCTGGCAGAATCTTCTAAGGAAGGTTGTGTCTCAAAATGGGCTATTGCCGATGCCGATGATGATTATGATGGTGATGGTGGTGGTGGCAGCGGCTTAATTGTTCTAATCAGAAAACAAGCTGAACCGAGTTTGCGTACAACTGCATCTGTATGCGTCTTCCAGGAAAGTGTGTTGTCCAATGTTAGTCCTAGGAATTTTGTATTACAAATATTGACTATTTTCTTGTTCCCATGCGTTCTATTTAAATTGATTAAAGAACTAATCTTAGTTATAAAATGGCCGTGCCATAGCTCAAGCGGTTAGTCGCTGGCTTCCCACCACGGTGGCCCAGGTTCGATCCCGGGGTCTGGTCAAGTGGGATTTGTGGTGGACAAAGTGGCGCTGGGGCAGGTTTCCCCTGTCAATCTTCATTCCACCAACTGCTCCACAATCACCCTCACCTATCATCTGGAGCTGGTACAATAGGCCAGAAGTGGCCGCAGTACAAGTGACTTTGTCCCACCACTAGCAATAATAAAAGAAAAGTAAATAAAGATTTTTTTTCTTACAATTACAGGAAATCCTTGTACCGGTTGTTATCCATTAATTATTATTACCTCTGATATTTTTTGAAGGGAAAACTTGTATAAAATGTTAAATAATTATTCAGGAATGAGTTTACATCCATGTTATCATTGTTACCAATTCTGTAAATTTTCTACAATATGTGTCATTGAGTTTATAACCATCAAAATTAATCTGATTGAATTCAAATTGTTTAAGATGGTGTTCCAAGAGACACGAGATATGCAGAAAATTTTGGAGACACAGAATTTATTAACGGATTGGTATCTATTGTTTATCGTCTGCCATAAAAAATTCCCTTTCCTTGTTATTGGAAGTTTCTTATGTCTTCTGGATGCTCAAAGTACTTTAGCTTTTGAACTGTTACTGAATTCTGTAGAATTTTCCAAGTTTTCTAATTGTGTCTCGTCATCTGTTATTCCTTCTACTTCATCAACTGATTCCTCTTGATCCACAATATTAGCTGTAGCTTGTTCTTTGTCTGATGTGGCTACTTTAATACCTTCTTGTATGATTATGTTATCCTCGCTTGAAGCATAATTTACCCCATCATCATATTCAGTTTTCCAGTACAAACTTTTTGGTTCTTCTGTTTGTTTTTGAAGAGTTGTAGTAACAACAGCTATTTTTAACGGGGGGAAGGGGTGTCCTCCATAGCGCTACACATCACAATATTGATTAGATTTTAGGAGGCGAATATGTAAAGCTTCATAGATGGTGGTCTGTTGCATTTCTCTTTCTCTTGATCTCCTTTGAAGCATGTATCTGTCAGTGGTTATATTAAAATGTCCATGCACTTTGTCATATGAGAGATGGATGAAATTGTAGATTAGAGCGAATTTAACTTCCTCAATTACTCTATTGCTGTCCTGTCATCATTTCCTCTTTGGGTCTTCATTGCTGTGAGTATCCTTGGGGTATTATTAAGAGTGTGGGAATTTTCACTGTCAAAGGAGCAATACAGATTAAACATCTTATGACAAAACAATTGTACCATTGCTTTCACTGTCATGGACCATATATCTATATTAAATGCTCGTGTGATGTCATGCTATGGTCATTCTCATTTATTAATATACCAGCATGCTTAAGTGACACTCATGCCTCGACTCTTTTATCACTTGTATAAATGAACAGCTGATATATAAATATATGGTGTAGTGCTTATTCAATGTCAGTGATGCCAAACATCTACATAGCTGCATCTAGAATTGTTTCCATTCTGATGTGTTGATTGCAGAAACATCTGTTCTTCTGTGTCTTCCATAATTTGCCATACATTCTTCTATGTTATTTTTTGTCTCTTAGGATTGTGATCTAAAGTAAAGCTTCTCCCAGATGCCTCAGTAATTCCTCGAATATCACTTTTTTAAGGCTGCTCCAGCAGCTGGTATAACTCAGTCAATAAAGTGACTGACTGTGGGTTGGATGGCTGCAGTTTAACTCCCAGCAGAATTTTCTCTTCACTTCTATCTCCATACTGGCTCTGGAGCCCACATAGCCTCCTATGCAATGGCTACTGGTGTTCTTTCCCCTGAGGAAAGTGACTGAGACGTAACACTGATCACTTACCTCTATCAAGAATATGTGGAGCTTTAGTTCCACTTTTCTTTGTGTTATGTTGTGCTTAGGAACAGGGGAAATATCGTATCTTTTAAGCTATTCTGTTTGAAGAACATGATGTCCAAACCACTTCATCGTGTTCATTTTGATTTCACTTAACTTTTGGCTGCTACACTCTGAATATCCTAGGTTACTGGAGGCCAGCAGGTGATATTTATACAGAGACCAAAAACAGTAGCTTTCAGGTGAGACCTAAGTAGAAGCAGAATCTTGATTAACAACAAAATAATTATGCAACACATCATTATTTTCAGTTTCGTTGAATGCTGTCATATGAAAAGATACGACATTGTAACGTGTTTTGCCACTGAAGACGCCCTTCAAATTGTTAATTGGTTTATTTGACAACCTACAATTCGTAACTACAATTATAACACAGTTTAGGGTTTACACAATTTATAAACCCTACACAAAAATCTGTTCACTCTATCTTCAATAGTCTTCACGTAGTTATAACGTGGGAGCTTTACAAGTGTCACTGTATTACACACTCGCAATATAATTGTACTACCGCACACACAGAGTCTTGAAGGCACACAATAAGTCTTCACTGGTGGACTTCTCAGTTATCGTGCACTATCACATAAAATCTTCTAACCACGCGTTCGGGTCTTCAGCTGTTATATTTCAACTGTCACTGACACTTATAACTGTCGATTCCATTCACTCGATACAATTCAACAACTGCTTATAACTCATACTGAATTCTAGTAACTGGCTCAATCCTCACTGTGTCACTCCTGATCACACACTCTTGTCACATACTGCTCAGCCGGCTTTTTATACCGTTCCCTGTTGCCTTGTGTTACCAGCGTTGTCCCCTGTTGCATCACAGTGGGAAGTGCTGTTACATCACCACGGGGAGGGGGCCGGAGTGTTAACTGGCCTGTTACCGTAGCAGCAGCAGCAGCACTCTGATGCTGTTACGTCATTGCTGGCGGGGAAGGGTTTGTCCTGCATAGTGTAAATACGTCACACTATTAATACAGAAATTTAAAAATGTTTACATATTACAGGTCTAATGATGTATTGTACTCTAAAAATACAAGAATAAATGTTTGGAACATATGTATGCAGCGTCACCCATATTGTAATGAAACCTGGACAGCAGAGGCCAAAGACTAATTCAGAATTACAGTTGCTGAGATATTAATATTTTCTAAAAACTGTTGAGCATACAGGTGTGAATGCACTACAAAAACACTTAATACCTGTGATTTAATGTTTTATAGAATGCTGGCGAATTGTCAGTTGCAAATTTGGACCGTGTGAGACATGCTAATGGGTCAATGCCTACTGCAACATTACGTCTAAGTATGCAGAAGATAATGCAAACACATGCAGCTGTATTCAGAACAGCTGAGTCACTGCAAGAAGGTGTCAAGAAGTTGCAAGAACTCTACAAGAAACTGGATGACCTGAAAATCTCTGACCGCGGTCTGGTTTGGAACTCAGACTTGGTTGAGACTTTAGAACTGCAGAATCTCTTACTGAATGCCATGCAAGCCGTCGTTGCAGCTGAGAACAGAAAGGAGTCGCGTGGTGCACATGCACGTGAGGATTTTAAGGTATCAGTTTTATTATGTTTTCCTAGCAGAAAGTACTAGAAATATATATACAGGACGTCATATCTGTCCATTCATCTGCATGGCTCTAAAACTGTTGAACAGATCGAAATAAAACTTGGTGTAATAAAGTTGTCAGCTAAATTTAATTTTGATTTATATTAGTCCATTATGATTCAACTTTTTAATGAAGCTCGAATTGAGCTGTACTGGTTTGTGTGGCTCATATGAAGTATTGGTACATGATATAAAATATATATCCCGTTGAGATGTGTGAGTTTCATTAGTGGAATTTTTCAGTTAGGGTGTACTGAACATAATGTGTGTGTTCCATTTATTTCTCCTACTTTTGTCCAAAACATTTTCCATTCTGATAAATATTTATTGATACATAATTTTTCAACTCGGTCACCATTAGTATCAGTTCCAATTCTTGTCCATTTCAGAGTTATTATTTGTGAATTAAGAATCTGTTGTCTCATGGGAGACATTTTTATTTGAATTTACCACTCTGTTCTGTGTAATTTATATGAAGTTTTTGGTGCTGTTGTACCAAAGAAAAGACTTGGGGAATGTGAAAAACATTAGGCCTGACCCCATCCTCGCAGACTCTCATTAAACTGTAGATCTCCTTGGCTGGCTGCCACGCTTGTGATCACCCTATTGTTTGGGGTAACAGAATCTGCCGTATGGGAGTCCCTGTCTCAAAAATCAGTTCTCTGCCCTTGCCTAGATGGGCAGAGGCCAGTAAGTTCAACACAGATCATATCAGGGGGCACTAGATAAACAGCAACACCACCAAAAGTACATTTAAGATATTTGTTGTGCAGGAAAGAATTGATGAATATGACTTCTCAAAACCAACTGAACAACAAACAAAACGACCGTTCGAACAGCACTGGAGAAAGCATACGCTAACGTCCATGAACCCCAAAACAGGCGATGTAAGTAATCTTCTGTACTGATGTGGATTTGATTAATTTTATAACTTTGTGTCGGATGGGATTTTAATTTGTATCTTTTCTTCTTAGGTACAGATAACGTTCAGACCTGTTATAGATGTCACGTTGGATGCACAGGAGTGCGCAACTGTTCCCCCAGCTATCCGTTCATATTGAGGATCATGTGCTTACTATTTTGCTAGTACTGACACAGGTTTCTGTAACTCTCATAAAAAGCATCCCTCTTATATGTGGGAGGCACGTTTAGTGACAGACAACAAATTAGTTATCATCTCAGGCTTGTAAATATTCTGTTATTCACATCATGTGTACCACATGACTGCAGTAACATGATCATCTGTGCATTACAGCAGTGTCAGTACTAATGGTTACTTTAATAGTCAGTTGATACAAAATTGAGTTAGGTTTCTATTATGTTAATACACTGTGTTTTTCCAGAAAAGGGATTTTGGATTATGGTACTCTTAGGGTTCAGTAAATTGAAATTTGAATGTCATGGAGACAGAGACAGTTGTATGTTTCATCTACATACTGCTCTCTTATCCATGTTTAAATTTATAGTCAGCCAGCCAGCCTGTGCATTGTATGCTGTGATGCTACATAATGTGTTTGCTGCTTCTGTGTAGTTTCTGCATCATAACTCATCGATGTTACATCACCATTGAATTAGACGGGTATAGTACAAAGAGAATTCTCTTTGTAGATTTTTGTTAGTAGCCAAGGTATATAATAAGGAACTGAAACCTGTGTGCAATCAGTAATTATCATGTACTTATTTAATTATCAATGATTATTAAAATCAGAAGCATAAAGATACAGTGTTTGAAGGAAAGTGGTATTGTAAGATTGACGGACGGATATAATTCAGATTTCTTACATCATAACCATCAGTTATGGTAGGATTTACTGTTTGCTTGAAAAGAAAGGTAGATTAGTCTTACCAGGAAATAGATATCTGCTTTCTGATTGGTTTGTCAATCCATAAGTTTATGAGTCGGAAACATAACCCTAATGTCAGTGTTTAATAGGAGAAGCACGTGCTGAACGTTCATTCTAACACTGTTGACATTGTTCATTAAACTAGTCTTTAAAAGCAGCTTCAGTATTGACATTACTTAAGGTACACAACAATGTTACCTCAAATGTAAATGCAGTACTGATGAAATTGCGAAATACTGGTAGTTTTGTATATAAAAATATAGTAAGCTTTTTTTTAATGCTAGTGGGGTGGGACCAAGTCCCTTGTCCTGCGGCCACTTCTGACCTATTGTACCAACCCCAGATGATAGGTGAGGGTGATTGTGGAGCAATTGGAGGAATGAAGATTGGCAGGGGAAACCGAAGTACTTGGAGAAAACCTGCCCCAGAATTGCTTTGTCCACCACAAATCCCACTTGACCAGACCTGGGACGAAACCCGGGCTGCCGCAGTGGGAAGCCAGCGACTAACCGCTTGAGCTATGGCGTGGCCCAATATGATAAGTTTACTTCATTGGTGTAATGTTTCATTTATGAACAGTGGAAGGTATTCTTAAGCGCTTATTTTTGTTTTACAGTGTATATCCATTGTTAACGTATCATTTTATTAATATGGTGAGCACAGGGATATTCAGAGTTTGAAAGAAAGGTCTTGATCAGTTTTGGCTCTGCCATTATGTATGTGTTACATGGTACAACTATTGGGGCCTGTTGTCATACATCCTCATAACTGAAATCTCATTTCGCTTTCTGCATTACTTCCATCACGTTCCATCTCTTCTGATCTTATTTAACTTCCTTTCATTTTCACACAGTGTTCTTTTGCTCTTCAGAAACGTGTAAACCATTGAGGATTACATGGGAGGAAATATGTTGTGTGATTACAACAATTAGTTTGCAAGATTAAGTATGGGTGCTTAGGAGCCCAAGATTTGCAGTTAGGGAAATTGGGGACTGTTATGTTGGTTATTGAGGTCTGTTTTAATTTATCATAGTTTGTATTAAATGACAGAACGTTTTTGTAAAATGAAGTTACTGACCATTATCTTTTCATCAGTGATGGAAGTAAAGCAGTATAGCCTGCAAATAATAGGATGTAAAAACTATAAGAAACCATAGTTCAGAGGAGGGACAGAGATTGTAATTTGATTATGTCCTTCTTTGAGCCACAGAAATTGTGATATTTGGGCATAAAAGTGTGTCATCTTGTGAATGTACATAAATCTGGAAAATATACAACAGTAATGTCTGGTTTAATTGTTGAGAGTTGTTTGTTTGCCATAGTGATGAGGAGGTTTAACAGTCTTCATAATCTGAATGTCAGTTTTCTAAATTTGTGATTGGTGAAATGTACGAGGGGGGACCCAAAAATAACCGGAATTTATTTTTGTTATTTTTTATTTTTGCATTTTTATTGAACTGTATATTAGTCCCCTTCAAAGTATTGTCCATGTGCATTAATGCACTTGTCCCAACGCTTTTGCCACTGCTCAAAACAGTGCTGGAATTCTTGAGGCTGGATACTGTTCAAAGCCTTTAGCGTGTTTTCTTTGACTTCATCCACATCA